GACGGAACCACTGGCTAGAAGACCAACAAGGAAACAGAGGACTCGAACAACCATGTGCACAGACTAGACGTAACTGACATCCATAGTGCACTCCACCCAACGGCGGCAGGACACCTGCTTCTTAAGCACGCACCTGGAACACGGTCCTGGGTAGATCACACACTGGTCCACACGACAAGTGTCAACGAGCTTAAAAGGATTGAAATGATACAGAGGATGATTTCCAACCGCAACAGCATTAAATTGGAAATAAATAACAGAGAGATTTGGGGAATTCACAAACACGGGGGGACGTAAACATCACATTCCTAAATAACTAGTGGGTCAAAGATGGAATCAGAAAAGAAATTAGACAACTTTGAGGTGAATGAAAATGAAAACGCACCGTCCCGAAGCGTAAGGGATGCAGCTGAAGTGGTGCTTGAAGGGAAATTCGTAGCCCCAGTGTTTTTATTTAAAAAGATGTCAGTAGCCTAGCTTTTCACCTTCTGAAACTAGAAAAAGAAGAGCAAACTAAACCCAAAGTAAGCAGGAGGAAGGAAATAATAAAGATTAGTACAGAAATAAGTGACTTAGAGGAGGGCAAGAGAGAGAAGGCAGTGAAACCAAAAGTTGGTTCTTCTTGGTTTTTATTATTTTTTTTACTTGAGAATATTTGACACACAATGTTACACTAGTTTCAGGTAAAAAGATGTTCTTTGAAATAACAAAATTGACAAACTTTAGCTAGACCGACCAAGGGAAAAAGAAAGAGGTCTCCCCCTTCTCTCCCCCTCCCCCTCCCCTTTTCCCTCCCCCTCCCCCCTTCTCTCTCTCTCTCTCTCTCTCTCTCTCTCTCTCTCTCTCTCTCTCTCATAAGAATGACAGGCCAGGAACTGAGAAGAGAGAAGCCCTGGTTTCAAAATATGATGGCAGGGACAGTGAGAAGTTAAAATACTTTGTTCCCCCTAATTAAGGCAAAACATCCCTCATTAGAGTTTCAAGGGCACGTAGCTCCAGGAGAACATGATTCTGATTAGCAGAATCAGAGATAAAAGAGAGAACATTACTACCAACCTTACATAAATAAAAACGCTATAAAGGAGTAATATGGGCAACTGTTTCCAATAAATTAGACAACAGATGAAATGGACAAATACCTACAAAGACATGAACTACTGAAACTGACTCAAGGAACACAGGAAATCTGAGCAGACCTGTAACAAGTAAAGAATTAGTAATCAAAAACCTGCCTGCAAAGAAGAGCCTGGGCCCAGATGTCCTCCCTGGTGAATTCTACCAAACAAAGGAGAAAACTCTTCACACACACTCTTCCAAAGAATAGAAAAACAGGGAACATTTCCCAACTATTCTATGAGGCCAGTATTACCCCAATATCAAAACCATCACAAGTAAAAAAAAAAAAATTACTGATTAATATCTCTTATGAACAAAGATGCAAAAATCCTCAAAAATATGCTACCAAATTGAATCCAACAGCATATAAAAATAATGACACGCCATGGGCTTTATATCAAGAATGCAAGGTTTTTCTAGTGCCTGAAAATCAATTAATGTAATACACCGTATTAACAGAATCAAAACCAAAAGCCACATGGCAATCCTAATGGATGCAGAAAAAGCACTAACATCAAATGCCCTTTCATGACAAAAGCGCTCAACAAACCAGGAATGTAAGGGATATCTCCCAACCTGATAAAGGGTATCTAAACTCCCTCCACACTTACACCCCCCCCAACCAAACAGCATTATCCTTAATGACAAAAGAATTGATGCTTTTCCCCTAAGATTAAGAACAAGACAAGTTTATCTATTCTTGCCACTCCTATTTAGCATTGTGCTGGAGGTGCTAGCCAGGGCAATTAGACAAGAAAAAGAATTAAAAGGCATCCAGATTGAAAAGAAGGAAGTAAAACGATCTCCAACTGTAGATGACATTATCTCGTATAGAGAAAAATCGTAGGGATTCCACTAGCAAACTATTAGCACTAGGAAATCATTTTGGTCACATTGCAGGATAAGAGATCAATAGAGAAAAATCAATTGTGTGTTTATACGCTAGCAGTGAACATCCCACAAATAAAATGAAGAAAATAGTTCACGTCTACGGTGTCATCAAAAAGAATAAAATACTTCGGAACACATTTAGCAAAAGAAGTTCAAGACTTGTACCCTGAAAACTACCAAACATTGCTGGAAGAAATGAAAGATCTAAATAAATGAAAAGACACCACGTCTTCATAGATCATAAGACAATACAGCTAGATAATAATACTCTCCAAGTGTATCTACATATTCAGTGGGTTCAGCAACAAAATCCCCAGTACTTTTTCTCGCAGATTGATCCTTAAATTCATATGGAATTGCAAAGGGCTGTGACTAACCAAAACAATATTAAAAAGAAGGAACGAGGTCAGAGGACTCATACTTTTCAAAACTCACTACGCATCTACGGTAACAAAGACAGTGTGATGCTAGCATAAATAGACATATAGGCCGATGCAACAGATGTGAGAGCCCAGAAATAAACACAAGTTGATTTCTGACAAAGGTGCCAAGGCCATTCAATGGGGAAAGAATAATCTTTTCAATAAATTATGTTGGGACAACTAAGTATCCACCTGAAAAGAACACAGTTGAGGGGTGCCTAGGCAGCTCAGTCAGTTAAGTGTCCAAGTTCAGCTCCGGTCATGATCTCACGGTTCATGAGTGTGAGCCCTGCATCAGGCTCCATGCTGACAGCTCAGAGCCTGTTTGGGATTCTCTGAGTCCCTCTCTCTCTGCCCCTCCCTGACTCACGCTTTCTCTCTCTCTCTCAAAATAAATGAATAAACTTAAAAAAAAAAAAAAAAAGAAACATCTGAACCTTTACCTCACACCATAGACAAATATTAATTCAAAATGCATCATGGGCATAAATGTAAGGGCTAAAAGGATAAGACTCTTAGAAAAAAAATAGAAGCAATTCTTCATAGCCTTGAGTTAGGCAATGGTCTTTTAGATATACACCAAATAAACTGGACTACATCAAAACTAAAATCTTTTGGGGGCGCCTGAGTGGTTCAGTCGGTTAAGCGTCTGACTTCAGCTCAGGTCATGATCTCATGGCTTGTGAGTTCGAGCCCCGTGTCTGTGCTGACAGCTCAGAGCCTGGAGCCTCTTCAGATTCTGTGTCTTTCTCTCTCTCTCTGCCCCTCCCCTGCTCACACTCTGTCTCCCTCTGTCTCTCAAAAATAAAAACGTTTAAAAATTAAAAAAAAAAAAAAACTAAAAGCTTTTGTGCTGCAAATAAACCCTTTAAGAAAGTGAAAATATAACCAACAGAATGGGAGGAAATGCTTACAAATCACGTATCTGAGGAGGGACTTAATGTAGATCACATAAAGAATTCCTACCACTTAATAATAAGGACAAACAACCCAATTTAAAAATGGACAAAGGGTTTGAACACAGATGGTCAATATGCACATGAAAGGATGCTCAATGTCATTAGTCGTTAGAGAAATGCGAATGAAAACCACCCTGACCTACCACTTCCCACCCGCGCAGATGGCCAGAGTGAAAAGACAGACAACCACAAGTGTTGGCAAGGATGTGGGTAACAGAGCCCTCGGACGTTGCTAGCAGGAATGTAAATTGGTGCAGGCACTCTGCCAGTTCCTCAGAATGTAAACCGTGGGCTTTCCGTGTGGCTCAGCTTTTCCCCCATCTCCGTATCTGCCCACGGCATACAAAAACATAGGTCTACACAAAAACCCATGCATGTCTCTTCATAACAACCTAATTTATAATAGCCAATAAATAGAAGCCACCCAAACGTTCACCAGTGGATGGATAAACGATGTGATGTGGCCATACAGTGAAAAATTCATCAGTAGGAAGAGATGAAGTGTTGAAATATGCTACAGCATGGATGAGCCGTCGAAATGTTCTACTCGAGGTGCCTGGGAGGGTCAGTCGGTTAAGCATCCGACTTCAGCTCAGTTTGTGGTCTCACGGTTGGTCTCACGGTTCGTGGGTTCGAGTCCCGCGTGGGGCTCCGTGCTGACAGCTCAGAGCCTGGAGCTGCTTCAGATTCTGTGTCTCCCTCTCCCTCTGCCCCTCCCCTGCTGATACTACGTCTCTCTCTCGCTCTGTCTCGCTCTCTCTCTCTCAAAAATAAACATGAAAATTTTTTTTAATTTTTTAAAAAACGTTCTGCTCAGTGAAAGGAGCCAGTCACAGAAGACCATCTGTCGTGTGATTCCACTCCTATGAAACATCCAGAATAGATAAATCTGTAGAGACAGAAAGTAGATTAGTGGGTGCCTCCCACTGGGGGGCAGGTGCTGGAGGGAGAAGGGGAGGAGACAGCTAATGGGGTGATGGCGTTTCCTTTGGGGTTGATGATGAAAATGTTCTAAAATTAATTGTAATGGTTGCACAACTCTGTGAATATACTAAAAACTACTAGATTGTACCCGTTGGATTTTAAAAGGTGAATCGTATGGCACATGAATTATATCTCAATAAAACTGTTTCTTTAAAAAAAAATGAATTAGACCTGTATGTATCAAGGTAGATAAATCTCAAAAGATGTAGAAAGAAAAAAGCAAGTTCAAGAAGGAAACAAGGAAGCATACAATACGATGTCTTTTACGTGAAATTGTAAAACAAAAAACAATACTATATATTGTTTGGGGGAAGATAAATTCTTAGTAAGATATAAAAACTTGGATGGAAAGGATATACTCCAACTGCAAAACTTCCGCCCTCTCTCCATAAATAATTTTTTAAAAATTTTATGGCTTATTTGTCCATTGTTTATGTGTAGCACGTAAGAAAAATATATCTGCGTTCGTGTCCTTTCCATTCCGAAATAAGAGGTAAAATGCCATATGTACTTGGGTCTACTTTTTTTTAACTCAACAACATATTCTAGAGCTCACGCTAAAAGAGTTCATGGAGCTATTCCAGGGAGGCTCCTTTATTAACCTTGTCGGGGCTTACGTCCAAAAAAGGAGGAGGGCCAGAGACGGACGACTATATGGAGACACTGAAGGATGAGGAGGACGCCTTGTGGGAGAACGTGGAGTGCAACCGGCACATGTTGAGTCGCTACATCAACCCAGCCAAGCTCACCCCCTACCTGCGCCAGTGCAAGGTCATCGATGAGCAGGATGAGGACGAAGTGCTCAGTGCACCCATGCTGCCGTCCAAGATCAACCGGGCAGGTGACCTTAGGAACCCCCCGGGGGAGAGGGGGGTGACCTCTTGTGACAGCTTCAGGAAATGCGCTCTAGTGGGCTGTACCAAAGCCAAATAAATGTCTCCAGGTCAGGGATTTTTAAACAGGCGTCAACAGACTTCTGCCCACCCCGTCCCCCCAACCCAAACTCTATGCAGAATTGAGAGGGTCCGTGAACTTGGATGGGGGGGGGTTGCATCTTTATATTACTAGCCTAAAGTGAGATTTAGCATCTCCATCAATTATGAATGTAGGTAGGCAGTAAATCACGGTAGTGATTAGCAGTGCCTGTGACGCTGTATGGCAACAATAAGAATTACAGACCTCTTCATACCTCACTGCAGCTGTTACAGCTCTTCCAAAACACCATTTACACTCATCTCACCCTCAAAGTTATAGTGGTTCTCACACCAGCCAAGAGATGGTGTTAATGCATTGGCAAAGGAGCACTTTTATTACTGAATCGCAAATTTAATATTTGATAACAACGTCTTATTAGAATGGATTCCCTTTATCATCCAGTTCCTTTATATCTGTTTAAAAATACCATCCTGAGACTTTTCCAGACTGTCCAGGGGTCCATGACATTTTATCACATTCTTCAAAGGTATGGGTAAGGTTTGTAAAGTTGTTTTGGTTTCATATTTATACATATACATACACACACACACACACACACACACACACACACACTCATGTGCATAAACACCTGTATGCACAAGGCCACGATGTAACATACATTTCTTTCTGTGGCTCACAGTTGAAAAGGTTTGAAAATCACTTCCCCACAGTACGCCTGGTGATAAGTAGCTCAAACGCTGTGACTCTCTTCTGCATACATGACAGACGTCACTAATCACAGCTTGCTTTCCTACTGGGCTCCCGTGTCACTTCAGAATCCCTCTCAACACATGCTCCAGGCAGCTTCACCAAACAATCAGTTAACACGAGATGAAACTTATTTATCACGTCTATCCTGGGGGAAAGGTAGGGAGTTTGGGGACCTCCCAGGAAGAACTATCTGAAAATAAAACGTTTGAGGAAGGGCCAAGAAATGTTAAGTGACGAGTGGAATCAGGAGAGAAACGGAAACGCTGAGCAAATTACATTAAGGTTAGAGATGTTTCCGGACTAGGAGATAATCCCGCAAATCGTGGAGCTGTGCCTGCTTCCTGGGACTTCCCAGCTCTCCGCCCACAGATCCGTCTTCCTGCTCTGAATCTCAGAAAACCATACATTTTCTATAATTGCTGTTGTACTTCCAACCTCCTTCAATCACAGAAGACCTGGGGCCTGTATGGTTAATTTTAGCCCCGGTCAACTGGCAAGCTCTTTGAAACCGTGGGTTTCCCGTAACTGCAATTCGATTTATCCTCGTTCCAATTTCTTAGAGAAAGGAAAACTAACAGCCACTGAATCCCCTTTGAGGGCCTGGCACTTTGATTGATGGTATCTGGACTCCCAGATACAGCCCGAGAGTGACAGGATGTGGCGAGGCTGTCTTCTTAGAGTTCACTGAGGGATGTGAGCCCAGGAGAAGACTGGCTGCGGAGACCTGCGCCCAGTCAGAACCGTACTTGTCTTCTCACCGGGCCCACTTCCGTCCCCCTAGGCCGACTGTTGGATATTCTACACACAAAGGGCCAGAGGGGCTATGTGGTCTTCTTGGAGAGCCTGGAATTCTACTACCCAGAACTGTACAAACTGGTGACTGGAAAGGAGCCCACCCGGAGATTCTCTACCATTGTGGGTAAGAGGCTTTGCCATCAGGAGTATTTGAACTCTGGCGGAAGTGCGTGCGCGCGCGTGTGTGTGTCTCCGGTGGTAGGACACTTCTAAAGCTATGAATCTATGACGTTGTGACAGTGTCCCTGTGGCACTTGTGGGCTGTCAACCACTCATTTCTGCCTGATGATCAAGGACAGACGACAGGGAAACCACAGCAGGAGCCAAGAGAAGTGGGTGTTCACGGAACATCCCCCGGGGGAATGCTGGTGGGGTGGAACAGAAGTTTGCACTACCCCCTGGATCCGGTCCTTGCCTTGCGCACTGTCTTGCCAGTATCCCTGGGCCAGAGCCCTCGGTAATCGCGTTAGCTTCCCTCCCTAAATGTTCTCGGAACAGCCTTCCGCCCATCTCCCCCACTACCCCAGTCCACGCTCCTCCAGCCCCGTCCACTCTCTGCATCCGTTCCGGCTCTGCTCCCTGCCTTCTCCACTCCTCCTGTTGCCCTCCCCTCCGGCAGCCTTTCACGGTTTTCCAACCGTGACCCCCTCCGCTCCCCCCACCTCTCCGCAGTGGAGGAGGGCCACGAGGGCCTCACGCACTTCCTGATGAACGAGGTCATCAAGCTGCAGCAGCAGATGAAGGCCAAGGACCTGCAGCGGTGCGAGCTGCTGGCCAAGTCGCGCCAGCTGGAGGACGAGAAGAAGCAGCTGACGCTGACGCGGGTGGAGCTGCTGACCTTCCAGGAGCGGTACTACAAGATGAAGGAGGAGCGCGACAGCTACAACGACGAGCTGGTCAAGGTGAAGGACGACAACTACAACCTGGCCATGCGCTACGCCCAGCTCAGCGAGGAGAAGAACATGGCGGTCATGAGGAGCCGAGACCTCCAACTCGAGGTGAGCGGCAGGCGAGGGGGGGGGCCCGCAGGCTCGAGGCCGCCACGCGGGCGGGTGCGGGCAGGCGCACGCGGGCCGCCGGCGACGCTCGGTCCGCTGGGCGAGGGGGACCGGGAGGGCACGGTGTTCTCCGCGGGCGGGGTGCCTGCACCCGCCGTGCGCCTGCGCAGGCCTACCCAGCGCGGCTTGGCGCCCGTGCAGGGCCCGGAGCCACCGCGCGCGTGTGCAGACATGCGCACACGGACCCAGTGGGGCTTCCCGCCCCTGCTCGGGCTGCCTCCGCCTCGCCCCTCCCCAATGAACCCGCCATAAGAAGGTGCAGACATGCGCACACGGACCCACCGGGGCTCCCTGCCACCGGCTGGGGCCCAGAGCCACCGTGCGCATGTGCAGACCCGTGCTCGCAGTCCTGTGCGAAGCCGGGTGAGGTGGAGAGGTGGCGAACCCAGGGGCCTAGACTGTGAGTGAGTGGCTCCCGGGAAAACCAGCGAGGAGACGGACGGAACCCTCGTCTTTTAGACCAAGACTCTGCTCAGCTGTATCTGCAGAGCTCAGCGTGGCACCGTGCGGTGGTCAATACGCTTATCGGTGAACAATCCACCAGCCAAATGATTGATGTCGTTAACGGGTTTACCTCCAAAATGGAGAAGGTGAAGGAGCATTTGCTTAACTCATTCATCCCTTTAATTTACTGAGTGCCGCCGTGCACCAGGCTCTTTTCCAGGGATGCATAACTCAAGACCAAGGCCCGGCTGTCACGGAGCTCACATGCTAATCAGAAAACAAATACATAAAGAGCTGGTAGTAATAAGTGCTATTAAGAAGAAAGAAGAAAAGAGTGAGGATAGGGAGTGGGCTGGCTCTTTTAACAAGGAAGGTCAGGAAGGGTCTCCGAGAAGGGAACGCACGAGTAGAGGTCTGAGGACAGAGAGGGAGCCGGCCACGTGAGGCCCTGGGGAAGAGCAAAGAACAAACAAAAGGCCCCAAGTAGGGGGCGTGCTCGCTGGAGAACCAGCGAGAGTGCCGATAGGGGCCGGAGCCACGTGAGCAAGGGGCACAGAGAGATGGCCAAGGTCCGGCTCGTAAGGGCATGGTAAGACCTTTGGAACTTACTCTATTCGTGATGGGAAGCGACTGAGGGATTGAGAGCTGGAGAGCGACAACTGATTTATATCTAGAAGGATTACTCTGGCTGCTGGGTGGAAAATAGACTCGGAATATTTATGAAGCACCTGCCATGTGTAAGGCACAGTGCTAAGCACTGGGGGGACACGGGGATAAATAACCCGACTTCTGCTCGGGTCACTTACAATTTAGTTGAAGCAGACAGATCAGTAAACAATGCACTGGGATTCAGGTGAATTAAGCCAGTGACGTAGCAGGCAGCAGACCATTTCTGTCAAAAGCCGTGAGCCTTGACGTCCTGTACATGTGAGTTTGAATCTGACTCCTGGCCTCTGGCTTTGTCCCTGAGTTGGCTTTTGGCCTCGGTTTCCTCATTTGTCAACGGCAGTAATGAAAACGACCCCTGTGCCCCAGGATTGCTGAAACCCAGCACTGTAAGTCTTTGGCAAAGCGGCTGGCCCAGGAAGCACCCCGCCGTGCTAGCCCTCCATGCCCACTTGGATGGGACTGGAGATCTGGACCCAGCACCGGGCCCTGGGGCTGACCTTCCGAGATGCGGAGGAGGATTTTTTTTTTTTTTTTTTTTTTTTTTTGCGTGACCAGGAGGAGAGGTGTCTGTGCCGTCATAGCTAGGGCTTGGAGACCTGAACCTGTGGCAGCGACTTACGAGTTTCTCTTCTATGACTTTGTCCTGCGTTGTATTTCCTTGGAGATGTGGTGATAGTGAGACACGTGCCTAGAACGTGAAAGAACATGTGGCCGGCAGAGTCCCTAGGTCATTCCCGAGCCCCAGACGGCTTCCTTGCGTGCCTCTCTCTTCCCTTCCACGGGGGCGCCACAGTAGTTCCTTGCTAAAGCCACCACCCCCTGCCTGCGAGGCATCTTGCGATCCTTCTCCCCTGTCGCCAAGCCTATATTGAGAAGGGGTGCTCACCCCTTTGGTCCCCCACTTCCCTGCAGCCCTTGAAAGCAGTCTTGATTCGGATGTTTTATGTGGTCGATCGGTTTAGGGAGGCAGACACGCTTAGTGACAAAGGTCTGAGAAGTCTTCTCCTGGTCCCGCTCCCTGACACTCCCCTCTCGAGGGGTAAAGCTCAGCACGTCGCCACTCGCCCCATTTCCAGACGTAGTCATGATCTCGTCTACAAAGCCACTCTTTCAGCCCTGTGGGTCGGTTCTTTAGGTCAGAGATGCTGCGAATCCAGAGAGCCTCACGCTGTTCTTTTCACATCAGTGCGAAGCTTGTCCAGATAGAATTTTGTGGGAAACCCGCGGGGACAAACCTGTACCGGCTGCTCTGGGGTCAGGTCAGGGCGGCAGAGCCCAGAACCTTGAGCTCTTGGCCACCTCGCTCCCTGTAGATAACATGGGTTCTTGAGGGGAGACCCCGAGTCTGAGAATCAGACTCAGGGCCACCGAGAAAGGCACTGGAGTGGATTCCATACCTGGGGGGGAGACACCTTCCCCCATTCTGCAGTCTGGTCCACCCCATAAAAGTTACCCCGGGGAGGTTGCTAAGGGACATACGGTGCTTTTCGGAACTCTCTTAAATTAGCAGGTCAGGAGGTCTCATCGACAAGGAAGTGGTGCTATGTTTTGCCGGGAAAGGTTTCTTTGAGCCCTTCCCGGTCGCTGCCTGGAAGAAGGGGGGTGGGGCGGGCATCGCTCAGGTTGTGCGGAAAGTCCACCGGGGTCTGGGGGAGTGCTGCCTCTCCCTCATTCTCCCCGGGGCACCTTGGGCGTTTCAGATCGACCAGCTCAAGCACCGGTTGAATAAGATGGAGGAGGAGTGTAAGCTGGAGAGGAACCAGTCGCTGAAACTGAAGAACGACATTGAGAATCGGCCCAAGAGGGAGCAGGTCCTGGAACTGGAGCGGGAGAACGAGATGCTGAAGACCAAAATCCAAGAGCTGCAGTCCATCATCCAGGTGAGGGCCGGGGCAGGGCTGCGTACGGAAGGGGCCGAGCCCCGTCTGGGCGTCAGCCCCTCTTGCCGACCTCAGGGCCCCTCGGCCATTCGCGGCATCCCTGGGTGCCTCAGTTTCCCCCTCCGTACAGCAAGGTGGCCACACCGCCCGCTTCTCGGGAGCGTGACGTTACGTGAGGTGATACTTGGGACAGGGTGTCCGTGATTCGTGTCCGTTCCCACGGAGGCCGCCGCCCGGGCTCTGTGACAAACCCAGCTGCCCTTACAGATCCCGAGACATTCAACTCTCAGCTCCCTGGGATTCGTTAAAACATCAAGGGTCTCCGTGCGTTTCCCAGCACGGAACAGTTTACAGGGGTGAATGAGGAGGCAGGGGAGGGGTAGCAGCCCGAAGAAAGGCTCTCCCGCCGCTCCCCCCTCAGTTACTCCCCCGGGATCGGCTGCCTGGTGTTGGAGGTGAGGATTTGGAGCGGAGAATGAATCTGGGTTAATCGAAGCAGGTTAATTGATACTTCAGGGGAAGCATCGGGACGGGGGATCAGCCCTGTCTTTGCTTCACATTTCACCTGTGAAACGTCTGGACAGACGGCACTGCTCCTCTCGGCTCTGATACGAGCGAGGACGAACGATAGGCATCGGGATGTTCCTGAGCAGGAGTGGGGTTTATGCTTCTTTCCAGGTGATAAAATTCTTAAATAGTAAGCTGCTTAAGGATCCCAAGAGACAGCGACTCTTTCCCTGCTTCCCTGGCACAGAGTCTCCTGCCCTCACGGTGCCCGTGGCGGGCTCTGCTGTGCCCTGCCTTCCCGGTCCCCCGGGCCCCCCGCCGCACCCCACCCAGCATGGTTAACCACCCCCCCAGGCCGGGAAGCGCAGCCTGCCCGACTCGGACAAGGCCATCCTGGACATCCTGGAGCACGACCGCAAGGAGGCTCTGGAGGACCGGCAGGAGCTCGTCAACAAGATCTACAACCTGCAGGAGGAGGTCCGCCAGGCAGAGGAACTGCGGGACAAGGTGGGAGCCCCAGGGTGGAGGGGCGCCCCCCCCACCCCCGCCAGTGTCCTCGGGCCGGCCTTCTCACCAGGGAGCCCCTGTGCGCTCCTGCGTGCTTGTGAGACCTCCCCGGCCCTCCGGCTCTCCTCTGGAGACCAGGTCTGACCCCCGGACAGATTCCCCACGCGTGCCGGCCTTGGCACCTCGCGGTTATCTGTGAATCGTGGCAAGCGTCCCCCTGGCCTCTGCCTTCCGTGGCCTGCAGTCGGGGCGGGGACGGCGCACGGTCTCTGCCCTGTCCCACCCGCCCCGGCCCGGCAGTCCCTGGCGCACGGTGGGTGTGAGGCACGTCTCGGTCACTTGGCCGGCTCCCGTGGCCCCCGCCGCCCAGACGGGCGTCAGGAGGACGTGCGATGCGGGGCGGGACGGGCCGGCTCCGGCTGGCGGGCCGGCCGGGAGGCGCCAGCGGGAGACGGCTGCCACGGAGCGGCCGAGCGCTGGGTGCGAGCACCGGCCTCTCCCCGTGGTGTGCAGTACCTGGAAGAAAAGGAGGACCTGGAGCTGAAGTGCTCGACGCTGAGCAAGGACTGCGAGATGTACAAGCACCGCATGAGCACCGTCATGCTGCAGCTGGAGGAGGTGGAGCGCGAGCGGGACCAGGTGCGGGCAGGGCCGGAGCCGGGCAAGAGCCGGTGTCTTGGGTCAGACGGCCGCGTTCGGGCCCTGGCCCGTCAGATGTGTGGCTCCGGGGAAGCCCCGCCCCTCCGTGCCCCCACCTGGGGGCGCTGAGGGCACCACCACCCCGTCCCTCAGGGCCGCCCCGGGCTCCTGGAAGCCGCGGGACGCATGGCGGCCATCACCTGCACTGGTTTGTTTTTTTTTTTTTTCCTTTTTTAAGAAGCGTTTATTTATTTTTGAGAGCGAGCAGGAAGTAGGGGAGGGGCAGACGGGCAGAGGATCCGAAGCGGGCTCTGCACGGACTGCAGAAAGCCCGACGTGGGGCCCAAACCCACAAACCGCCAGATCATGCCCTGAGCTGGAGTCGGACGCTCAACCGACTGAGCCACCCAGGCGCCCCCATCCTGTTGAGGAAAGTAGCGATTTAAACGCCCAGGAGTTGGGGTCGAGAAAAGAGCGGTAGCCGGCGTGGCCGACCCCTGGGCCGGGAAATGGGTGTCCCGCTTCTGATTTGGGTGGTGCAGGCGAGGTAAAGAACCACAGCGGCCTTGGCCTCCCCACCCCTCTGCCCCCTCCCCACCCGCCCCCCCGCAGGCCTTCCATTCCCGGGACGAAGCGCAGACCCAGTACTCGCAGTGCTTGATCGAGAAGGACAAGTACAGGAAGCAAATCCGAGAGCTGGAGGAGAGGAATGACGAGATGCGCATCGAGATGGTCCGGCGGGAGGCCTGCATCGTCAACCTGGAGAGCAAGCTTCGGCGCCTGTCCAAGGACAGCGGCAGCCTCGACCAGGTGGGGCTGCACCGGGCTGGGCGTGTCCCCCGCACCCGACACCGGGGCCTCCCGCACCGCCGGTGGCCCAGCAGGGTCACCGCCCCCGTGCAGCGGCCCTTCCCTGCCGCACCCAGGATACCCCACGGCCTTAACCCTTCTGCACGTGCACACCACAGAGTACAAATTACGAATTTTGAACTTGGAAAGTGCAGGGTAAAACCCCGTCCGGGCTACTTGCTCCCCGAGTTTAGACAAGTCACTTCACCCAGTAGCGTCAGCTCCTCCTCGTTTGATCGTAGTGACCATTAGGCTCCCGGCAGAGCCACTGACATGTGGACAGTCACTGGGTTTCAGATGCCCTGTGCCGCCCCCCCCCCCCCGAAGTCCCTAGGGCCTGTGAGGACGCTGTCCTTTCCGGATGGCACAAAGCTCCGAGCACCAGTCCCCGCAGGGTCCCGGGAATGAATGAGCGCTGCCATCAGAGCAGAGGACCTCGTCCTTGTCGTAGCAGCGGGGGTCACGCGCGGTCACACACAGGTGCTGTGCTAAGTGCCATCCGCCTGCGAGCCCCCGTAGCCCACCGACCTGTCCTGCCAGGAAGGTGTGATCACTGTCCTCACTGACCGAGGAAGGAACCCAGACCCCAGCAGCTGAGGGCACCACCGGTCGGTGGCCCCGGGGAAACGGGGGTGAGACCCTCCGAGGACTCAAGTCTAGCACCGGAGGCAGATCCGGGAACATGACACTTCAGCACAAATTGTAAATCACGTGTTGGGTTTGGGCCGTGGGGTCCCCGGGGGAGGAGGCCTCCGCTCCACCAGGGTTTCGGGCAAGACCCCCTTCGGACAAGCTGGGGGTGGCCTCGGGCCCCCCTGCTCGCAGCGCTGCCCCGGCTCCCCCTGCCCAAGGTCTGCCCCTTGTGGTCTGGGCCCAGGCGTGGCTCTCTCAGTCGGGCCTCCGCCGGCCCCCGTGATGGAGACAGGAGCCTCTGTTACCCTGCCGACCCTCTGGGCAGTTATAGTTTTTCTCCATGAAGCCCATAACCCGGTGCCCGACATCGGGCAGGGCCCGGGAGCGTCTGCTCAGTGGACAGGCGAAAGCTGTGGGGGCGCCCGGCTGGGTGAGGAAGGACGGGGCCTCGTTCCAGGCCCCGGACAGCGGCCTGAGCGAGGCCCGCGGTGCCACACGCAGCATGCTAGCGGCGGGTCGTGATGGGAGGGGGAGGCGGGGACCGGCAGCAGGAGCTAGCCGAGTCGTGCGCTCAGGCCCCGTTATTCGGGGACCTGGATGGATTTTGTGCGAAGAAGAAGGCAAGGAGCTGTGGGTCTGGAGGCGGCAGCACGAAGGTGGTGCGGATCTGGGGGGCACCTGGCACAGAGTCGCTGCCCCCGCGGCTCAGCCCGAGGCACGAGGACGGGGCCTGCGCTGCTCCTGGGCTTGGTCCATCGGTCGGCGGGTTCTGTGTCTGCGGCTCAGGCCCGCGGCTGCACCGGGACGTATGGAGGCCACACAGGCCCCGGGGGCAGAGACCCCCTAGGGGGACATCCCCACGGGGAGACGGGGACAGGAGGCTGGTGAGGAGGAGCGGGTGGGGCTAGAACCCCGAGCCTGGGCACCGAGGGGTCGTGGGGGCCAGGGAGAAGAGTGGGCCGTCCTGAGTTTGAAGCTGGGGCCTCACTGGCTTCCCCCGGCCCCAGAGTCTGCCCAGGAACCTGCCAGTGGCCATCATCTCTCAGAACTTCGGGGATGCCAGCCCCAGGACCAACGGTCAGGAAGCCGACGACTCGTCAACCTCAGAGGAGTCACCGGAAGACAGCAGATACTTCCTGCCCTGTCACCCCCCCAAGCGCAGGATGAATCTGAAGGGCCTCCAGGTACTGGCGCGTGGAAGGGCGCGGGGCACAGCATGGGGGGGGGGGGCCCGCGGGATGGGGACATGGGGTTGGGGGCTACAGGGTGGGAGCACGGGGTGGGGCTTGGACATTGAGTGCTGGGGGCCAAGGGGTGGGGGGCTGAGGGCTGTGGCGTGAGGGCCCTGGGTTGGGGGTTGGGGGCTGTGGGGTGGGGGTGGGAGCTACGGGGTGGGGGTCCCACAGACTGGTGGGGTGGGGGCCGTGGGGCCGTGGGGGTGGGGGCTGAGGGGCGGGTGGTGGGGGTCCCATAGGCCGGTGGGGACGCAGGTCTGGTAGACCCAGACCCGATGGGACTCCATGTGTTCTAGCCCCGTGGGTGGGAATCCCGTTTTTACGAGCCCTCCCGTCTCCCATGAGCCCTCCCGTCTCCCACGAGTGTAGCAGAAGTCAGAGAGGGAGAGGGAACAAAGTAAGCGTTACGTGGAGATTGCCACGGCGGCGAAGCCGTCTGCTCCGCTCAGCGCTCCTTGCGGGATGCGTGGGGACCAGATAGTGTCACACGGGAGGGGCCCAGCAGCACAGGCCAGGCTCCCTGGAAGGCTCCAGCTCCACGGGCCCGGCGGGGGCAAAAGCCTCGTCCTTTCCTGAAATTCCCCTGCGTCCTGTACCCGGTTGTGCGGGGCCTCCCCCGCCGCCACCATCAGCCCTGGAACCAGCCGCGTCCCCGGGGGGGCAGGCGTCACATGCCTTCCTCCATTCGTTCTGGCTCCTCCGTCCGCTCACCCGTGTCCCGGACCTTGTTTGATTTGTGCCCTCTGTCCTCCTCTGTCCCCTCCGTGTCGCAGCTGCAGAGAGCTAAATCCCCCATCAGCCTGAAGCGAGCCTCAGATTTCCAAGGTTGGTGCACACCCGGACCCCTCTCCTGTCTGTCCGTCCCTCTGCCTCTCCCGGTCCGTCTTCCCCATTGTGGCCATCAGTCGTGTGCAGTCAGCCTGGACAGGCCTGGGGACCCCGGGGAGAGGGGGTCCGGTAGTATCTCACATCCATCGTCACGGGAGAGGGCGGGCGCTGAGACACAGAAAGGTCACGTCTGTCACACACACACACACGCACACGCAGAGGTCGGCCCGGAGCCCCTGATCCCTCAGCTGGAATTCATAGCTCTGCTCACAGCTTCAGGCTCCCTGCCGGGCATTGTGGGTCCATCTGTGAGCCTGGGCTCTGAGGCCGGGCCACCAGTGAGGAGGGGGAGAGGGGCTCCGACACTCAAGAAAGGGGGGACAGAGGAGGGCTGGAGAAAGAGCGTCAGGAAGAGAGACAATCTCTGGAAGGACGCCCAGGACAGAGTGGGGAGCGGGGGCAGGGTTGAGCCCGGCGTGCTGCCCGTCTAGAGCTCAGAGCAGGGGGTGCCGGGAACAAGGCTGCAGAAGGTGACAGCCCTCCGGGATCTGCGGGGGGGCAGGGGAGGCCCGTCCACTCCTGTCATCGCCAGCCCAAGTATCTCTAGAACCTCCTTTATCAGAAGGGAGGCGTAAAGGGCCTGGGGCTCGTGGAGGAACAGAGAAGCGTTTGCCCCAAGAAAAGGGAAAGGAGGCGGCAGGGTGACGGAGCTTCTGGACTCTTCCCAAGCCTTTGCCCCTGCTTAGCGTGAGGTGTGGGTTCGTCCCAAGGTGCTCCCACACGGAGGCGCGCACCCGTGTCTGTGCGTGCACGTGGGGTGACTGACAGGCTGTGCAGCAAGGCAAGGGCTGAGACAAGTGTGCACAGAGCCCCAGGGAGCCCCTGAAGGCGCAGGAGGGGCGGCAGGGGCTTCCTGGGGAGGGGATGTACTCAGTCCCCATTGGCCCCAGTCTCCAGTCGGCCTGTCTAGTAGGGATGGTGGGATCTGCTTCGAGGACAAGGTCCTGGGGTGGGGACATTCGCGCTCTTCCAGAGACACGTGGTCCGCTGATCCACAGAGTGCCAGCTGGGGCCCCAGCCCGAGTCCTCAGAGACAGAGGACACGGTCCAGCCTGGAGCGAGGCCACCCTGGGCCCGGCTGGGGCTAGACACACTGGTCGGCAAGACCAGATTCCCTTCCAGGAGCCTGCAGCTGGGGGGACCACAGGAGGGAGGAGGCGGCCACACACCATCCCTCAGAGGACAGGCCGCCCAGCCGGGACAGCCCCCGGGTGCTCGGTGCCCGTGGGGATCTCAGCCCCTCTTCCCTGCCCCTTTGTCTCCTGCTTCTGTGAGGACAGGGCGAGGCCATGAGGAAGAAGGCACTGACGCGAGCCCCAGCTCCTCCAGATCCCTGCCCATCACCACCTCGTTCTCCAAGATGGTAAGCGGGGTCCCCAGCACACCCCCTTCTGGCTCAGAACCCGGGCCCCCCCCCTTCGTCTGCCCCAGCAAGCCTGGCCTCCCCCCCTTCCTCTCTGCACTCTCCTAAAGCCAGCAAGTGGAGTCATTCTGGGGCTGCAGCCCTAGCCCTCCTTTTGTTTATTTAGGGATGCTTCCACAGCCTCAGGATGTATTTACACCTTCTTGCCGCCTGCTTTCCCAATTTAACACTTGGCGGGAGGAAGGGATGGGCCTCTGAGGAGCCCTAGGATTGCACAGGCAGAGGCAGAAAATTCTCCTGCAGGTCCTGGGCCCCTGGCACCTCGGGCAGCCCAGCGGCTGGGACTGCAGGCTCCCCCTCACCCCACCCCCGCCCCCACCTGCCTGGCAGGGTCCCCCGCCCTGCATCCGGTGTCACTCCCCGCAGGCAGGCAGCAGAAGGCGTGGGATTAGAAATTCTAGCCCTGGAGGGGAAGCCCCGGGAAGCTTGTCAGCTCAGCTTCCAGAATCGGGCCCTGGGGGATGCAGGGGTTTGATAACGAATGGCTCCTGTCTCGCTGCAACTCTGGGGGGCCAAATCCGAGGCTCTTATCGGAGGCAGCCCTTGCCAGGAGCCAGCAGGCCTGTTTCAAAGGGTCACCCTCCAGCGGCCATGCCGCCCGGGGACATCTGTTGCTGCCACCAGCGAGACCCCCCCAGAGGGTCTGCCTCTCCAGAGTCGGTGCCCAAGGCCGGTGCAGCCTGGGGGGCCGTGGAGCTCAGCCTGTTCCCCCCACCCAGCCACGGCGGACTCCCGCCTGCGCCCTCCCTGCCCCCTCCTGAGGCGAGCAGATGTGCGAGCAGCTGTGCACCGAGCTTGGGCTGCGGCCGCCCCGGGGCTGGGCACGAGCCTTCTCTGGCCAAGGTCACTGCTGAGAACCAGCCTCGCCGGCCCGCCTGCCCACATCGGGGGCGGGGACGCAGTCGTTAGGTTTAGTCCCCACGTATGTGATATTGTCACGCGGAGGCAGGGGCGTGTAAGCGCCCGGCTCCCCAGAGCGCACCCGCGTGTTTTGCAGCAGCCCCACCGGAGCCGCTCCAGCATCATGTCAATCACCGCTGAGCCCCCCGGAAACGACTCTATTGTCAGGCGCTATAAGGAAGACGCGCCTCACCGGAGGTGGGTGCTGGGAGGGAGGAGGGGAGACATGCCCCCCCCACCACCCAGTCTGTCACTCAGCGGCCCCTGACCCAACCTGGGTAGGCAGACAGGATGCCACCCACTTTACAGATGAGAAGGCTGAGGCTCCGAGGAGGCCTGTGGCTTTCCCAGGGTCACCTGTGCCGTGGCCCCACAGCGAGGGGGGTGGGGGGGTACTCTTTCTGCCCAAGAGCGGTAGACCCCACAAACAGCCTCCCCTTTCCCACCTCCCCTCCCCTTTCCCCACCGCTCCTGTCCCCAGCTGAGAAGACCACCCTGGAGGCCTGCCTGGGCACTCAGATGCTCCCAGGCAGTGGATGTTTGACATCGTGGGCTCCGAGTCAGAGATCGCTGGGCGGGGTGGGGGAGGGGGGTTCCAGAAGGGCGGACAGCACAGAGCGGCCTGCGGGCTGGGATCCACATCCGCGGCCCTGCCAGCGGCCTGGTCTGGGCCTCGTTACCCTGTGGCGGGGACCACATACGGGGGAGCTTGGACCTCCCGGAGCGCCCTTGCTCCTGTCCTAGCCCATCGTGTCAAAGGGCACGGTCGGCTCTCGAGGCCCATTGCACGAGGCCTATCGTGCGAGCAGATGTTCAGCCTTCTGTGTGAGGAACGAGAGTGTGACTGGGAAGCAGCAGGTGGGGCTGTTGGAGACTGTTCACCTGCCCTTCACGGGCCTCCTCCTTCACGGGTTCACCTGCTGTGGCCTCCACTGGCTGCCTGGGACACCCTGGCCTCCAGCAGAGCGTCCAGCCCTCCGCGCACCTGCTGACCTTCCCCTGCTGCCCACGCTGCCCTCTCAAAACCAAGGCCTCTCGGAAAGTCAGAACATTCCAGAACCTTCCCCCTCCCTCGACCACTGGAGAGCTCCCACACACACGCGCGCCCCCCCCCCGTCCCTCCCTCGTGTCTTGCAGCACCGTGGAAGACGACAACGAGAGTGGCGGGTTCGACGCCTTGGACTTTGATGGTAGGTACCTGACAGACCTTAGAGGCACAAAGGCGTGGCGGCCACCTGCCGCCTGGCCGGAGCAGGGCCACGGGGCCCACGCCCCCGACCCTCCAGCTCCGGCTGGGGCCCTGCACCTCATAGGTCCTCAGAAACGCGCGTGACGTGGCTTCCAAGAGGGCGGCGTGTCCTGTCTGTGCCCAGGGGGCCAGGCCTCCATCCCTGGGGAGCTTCCTGGCCGGGGTTGGGGGGTGGGGCGGCCTGCCGCGCCTGAACTTGCTCTGGAGGCAGCGGGGCCGCACAGCTGCTGAGCCCAGAGTCCGTCAGTTGTGGGTGCTTCAAGAGAGTCGAACTGGCAATGCCCATTTGCAGAAAGGCTACTGTCCCCCTCATCTTGCAGATGAAGGAACGGAGCCGTGGAGAGCTCGAGGAACGCGGAAGGGGGGTGGGCGGGAGGCAGGGAGACGGCCTCAGAAATCCGTGTGAAGCTGCCGACCCACCCCAACGAGACGAGGGGCGGCAGTGGGGAGGGGGCAGGAAGTGAGGTGGGGCAGCAGTTGGAGTCATTTGTCCTCCCCTGACACCAGAGGCGGGGGGGGCAGCCGAGCCGCGGGGAGACTGAGGGTCCGTGGCCACCCTGAAACGGCCCCCCGGCAGAGGCGGTGTGGTGGCGGGGTTGTTCCTTCGGCCTAGACCACGCAGAGAGCCGGGAAGGAGGGTTGGGTCCCCCGGGAGCACGGCCCCTTACAACCAGGGCGTCTGGTTCAGCTGAGCCCACGCTGAGCCCCTGTGCCTCACCACGCCTGGTGCACGGGACACAGAGACTCCTGCCCCTGGGTCCCTGCCCTGGCCGACACCCGGGTGGAACAGCTGCAAGCCAGTGGACCGTGCGGGCAGAAGACCGGAGCAGGAGAGGAGCCTCCCGGAGACGGCAGTCCCCCCGCTCCTCCTGAGTCTGGCCCAGACTCCTCCGGGGGTGGCCTGCCAGCCCCCCCCCCCCGCCTCATGCCCCGGGTCCCCCCACCCTGCCTCCACCCGTCAGCAGCTCAGGCTGTCAGCAGATACAGTGAAGGATTAGCCCCTCTCCCTCACTGGAGACCATCAGGAGCCATCAAGTGTTAAAGGGAGGTTAGCACCTAACAGAGGCTGGGTGATGAGAAGAAGTGAAGGAGTTTGGGAAGGGGGGAGCTGGAATTCTGGGCAGCCGTCCAAGGCATTCTGCAGCGTCAGGACAAATTCTCTTTGCAGAGAGGCCTTTGTTATCAGCCCGGAGCCGGCTTTGCGCCTCCCCCCTCCCCCTCCCAGTGCCGCGGCCCAGTGGGGCTGGGCGTCTCCCTCCCCCTCCCCCCCCCAGTTCTCCAGCCCCAGCCCCCGCTGAGTTGGGAAGAGGGGGTTTCCACACTGGGTCCAGACTCTGCCTTTCGGGCCCCACCCCCAGCCCACAGGCCTCCAAGGAGTAGATGGGATGGTAAGACCCGGGGTGGCCCCGACATGAGAATACGGAGACCAGTTCACAAGCCGGAGGCAGGGGGATTGCTCTGTGGAAGAACGTCCCGTGCAGCGCCTTGTGCAGGCGTCCTGGCCCAGCTGGAGAATTTCTGGGGGGGAGGCCGGGAGGAGCGTCCTCACGTGCGCTGGCTCCTTTGCAGACGACAGTCACGAGCACTGCTCCTACGGCCCCTCGTCCGTCCACTCCTCTTCCTCCTCCCACCAGTCCGAGGGCCTGGACGCCTACGACCTAGAGCAAGTCAACCTCATGTTTAGGAAGTTCTCTCTAGAAAGGTACCAGGAAGGTCATGGGGGAGGGGGAGCGGGAGTTGGCGGTAGGGGCGGTGGGTAAAGGCCACTCACCCGCTAGAGTCCCCAGAAAGGGCCCATCCACTTCACCTGTGTTCTAGAACCAGAGTCCAGGAACGCTAGTGTCCTAGAGCCAGAAACCACTCCCCCCCCGAGCCCCCCCTCCCCCCATCGGGCCCAGCGACGAAGGGGCTTGCCCCGGGGCCACACGGCGTGGGAGAGGCCAGGGAGCAACACTCTGAGCCCCCCAGGTCCCCGCCCCACCTGAGACACAGGCAGCCCACTGGGCTGGTGTTCCAGATGGAGAACATGAGGGCCACTGCCCTCATCAGCCCGGCCCCTCCCTGCAGGTGGCCCCGTGTGCCCGCGACCTCAGGTGGCTCAGTAAGCTCTATGTGGCCGCTGCAGCCGGTTGGTCGGGGTTAGCTGCACTCCCTCACCTCAGCTCCCTGCCACCTGCCACGGGAGCCTGCCCTCCGGCTGGGCCAAGTACACGTGTCCCGACCACCGCGCTCTCACCAATTTCTTTCCCTGTCGCAGACCCTTCCGGCCGTCTGTCACGTCGGTGGGGCACGTGCGGGGCTCCGGGCCCTCCACGCAGCACGCCATGCTGAACGGTGACAGCCTCGCCTCACAGCTCACCCTGCTCGGGGGCAACGCCCGGGGGAGCTTCATCCACACGGTCAAGCCGGGCTCCCCGGCCGAGAAGGCGGGCCTCCACGAGGGCCACCAGCTGCTGGGGGTGAGGGACCAGGGGGCAGTGGCCGCACAGCCGGGGTGCCCGTGACCTTCCCCGCTTCTGCTGCACGGGTGCTGACCGAGGGCACCCCCACGCCCGAGCTGGGCGGGGGGATCCGGAGGGCGGCAGGGCCGGGGCCCCTCCCATCGGAAGGCCCTCACTCGTGTTTCTGGAGCCCGTGCGCACACGCTTGCACACACACGCCCGCACGCGGGGAGGCACAGGAGCTTAAGCGGGGTGCTGCCTTTGCTCCGAGCGACGCCGGGCCGGTCGCTGTTTGGGGAGGGGTGCTTCGGCCTCCCTGGGAGGCAGCCTCCCCCCTGCAGCTCTGCCCGCCCACGGAGCCAAGGAGAACAGCGTCTCTTTGACGTCTAGCTGGAAGGCTACATCAAAGGGGAGAGGCAGAGCGTCCCCTTGGAAACGTGCACGAAGGAGGAGGTGCACTGGACCATCCAGAGGTGCAGTGGCCCCGTCACACTGCACTACAAAGTCAACCAGGAAGGTAAGGCCGCGGGACTCACCCGCGCTCGGCCACGCCGGCGGGACGCCAGACGCGGTGGGTCCCGGAGGGGCGCCCTCCACTTGCTCACCTTTTCGGTGGGAGGAGCCCGCCGTCCCAGCCCCATCAGGGGCAGCAGGCAGGGAAGGGCGACGCACGTGAGCGCCGGTGAGCACACACCTGTCCCGCCACACCTGGCTGCAGGTGGCGAGCCGGGCCACTCGCACGCACACTGCCGGGCTGGGCAGGGGGGGCGGCCCTCCCTGCCCGGCCTGGCTCACCCCTCTCCCTGCTCACGTCCCGGCCCCCGACACAGGCAGGGACTCCGGGCCGGCTGCTCTGGCACCAGCAGGTCCACGGAGCCACAGCTTGGACCACGCCTTCGGCCCCGTGGTCGTGGCTCCGGGACGCCTCCAGAAGGCCTCCCCCGCTTCTGGCCCCAGCGGCGCTTTCGTTGAGGCTCCTCTTTCGCAGCCTTGACTCCTGGACAGTGAGCGCTAGGCTTTTCTGTTTCCCAAAGTCTGAGTCGCCTGCTCCACCTCCGGGCTTCTCCCCGCGTCATGATCTCTGCAGCTGGATCTTATTTTCAAGCACTGGGGCTCATGAATGTTTCAACAGAGCGTAAATAGCCACTTTCTAGCCGCTCCCCGCTGCCGCCTGCTAGCCCGCTCTCCTTCCCGGCATGCCCAGTCCGCCGGGCGGCAGAAGGTAATGATGCTCTGTCCCCCCACACGGGGCCCAGCCTCCCCCTCCCTCCCTCTTCTCCCCTCCTCCTCCTCCCCCTCATCCTTTTC